AAGCTTTAAAGACCTGGCTTTTTCAACAGGCATATTAACATTCTTTTAAGTATTTTGTAAGATGTAAATTTAAGATCTGTTTTTTTATATTTATATATTCAAAAAAAAATGTATTAGTATTGAAGTCAATGTCATTATTATTGTTATATTGTTTACTTTCTTAAAAGTTTTATTGTTATTCAAATCTTCTTACTGTAAAGCGCATATGAACGTATGGATATTTGCGCTATATAAATAGCACATTATTATTATTATTATAAAGCAAGGAAACAGCCTTAATGACAAGTTTGTCAAACAGAACTTCAATGTACATCCTGATTTTGCTCTCGACTCCTGAAAATTGACCAATATCAAGCTCAACAGCATTCACATATGAGCTGTTCAAGCCAATATGCCTCCCTTTTCTTTGACTTGCCATACATATGACCTATAGTAAATTTTGCGTCTATTTTTTGACTTCCTGAACGTTCTTTGATGCTTGCAATGCATTCTGGGAAGTCATTGAGCATTCTTTCCTACTGTCTATTGTCAAGCCCCTCCTCAATTCTACSAAAATTTTGTTATTTCATAATTGAAAGTCATAAACATTTATATRGCAGATGAGGAAAATTGCGTTTGGTCAAGCTAACACACTTTTCAGAATACTTTCAAAGAAAAAACTGCCTCGGTTCAGCCAATTTTTCGAACATTGAGCTAGGGGTAGAAGAAATTAAAAAGCAAGTTAAAATCCTAGGAATTTCTTTACATATGATAAAAACGCTTTCAAAAAGCTCAACTTCCACTCAATGTTAGTTAAAACCAAAGAGTTGTTTAATATGTGGGAATGGAGAGGCCTTACTCTAAACAGTAAAATTCAAATCATCAAGACGTTCGTTATCCCAAAATTGCTTTTTTGCTCCTCTGTAGTATCGATTGACAGAAACTTTATCAATGAATTAAATCAACTCCTATATGATTTTATTTGGAATGGCAAAGACAAAATAAAAAGAAAGTCGCTTATAAATTCCTTTGAAAATGGCGGTCTGAAGATGCCTGATGTTGAATCAGCAGTCCTAGCCCAACGAATAATGTGTATCAAGAAATATATAGAAACATCCGCTGCTACATGGAAAACCTTTTTGATCTGGCATCTGGTTTGATCTAGTAAACCTTGGATCGGTTGAAATCTTGAGATTTYTACWGTGAGGAGGATGATTTAGATGCCTTTCAATTGAATGACGAAAACCCAGAAGCGTCAACCGATCATACATCTTCCCGGATTTTGACCTGGCCAGTTGGCCTATATTCATGCTTTCAAGTGGAGTTTCTATTTTCTTATGTTTGCACCAATCTACGAAATTAGAGTTTAAGGACAAAAGCTTAAATTAACGTTTATATTTAAGGTAAATGTTTGTTATTGTTGTAATTGTCTGTAGCAATTTGTCTTTGTTTATATTTAATGTGTTTTTGAAATATAAGGCTTTTTTGAGTTTCCATAGTATAATAATTGATAATTTTAAACATTAAAATCGATAATATCGATATTTT